CAGGTTGAAAGTCTATTCTTTGCTTTAATTTTCATCGTTATCTTCCGTTAGTACTGTGCTTTGTATCACGCTTTCTACTTTTACGATCACTAAACAGATTTCAGTAATTCATTATGATCAGAAAATTTTGAAAATGAACTGCCTTTGACGGATAAAGTTCTCAAATCCTCGCCGATCCCTGTAGCGATTAGTTAGCCGCTCTGGAGGTACCTTTTAATGTCTTCCAGCTGGCTCTGACCCCACTACTGCCTTCGCTCAGGCAGGCCAAATGAACAGGCATGCAGATTCAAGACTAATAAAGAAAAAAGATGAAATGAATTACTCTTCTTGGATACCACAATTTCAATTTAGATTTTTTTGATGATGAGATAAGAATGATATTTTACGTTCATATCTAATCAAACTCTCATTTTCATACTCAAACTACATCTCCCCTATAAAACTGGTTGCAATGCGTCATATTATTATTTGGGATATATTGTTCTGCATGTGCATCTATCCCTCTTTTCATCCCATCACTCTATGTTTGTGCGAAAAGTCTTGCAAGATTTCAACAATAAGCTCCACTTATGTATGATATCTTACATAAAACCTAATAAATCAAAATTCTTATATTCTACAAAGATGTGACGATAGTTTTACCTCCTTTTTTCTTTACAAACTTGGATTTGCATATCCATTCGCTGAGCCTGCTCATTCAGTCTGATGAAAGGCAATAGGCGGAACAAAGGGAAGAGCCAAACTACGCTTGGCAGCGTTAGAATTGCTTATGGCGTCTACTACTTCCTTGGGGAAAAGCGACGAGGCTTTGGGAACTCCTCCGCACCCTCCACTGACCCTCTTGCTCAACTATCTCAAAGATTTATAAAAGGTTTTTGCATAGTTGATATTGCATATCTCTCACAATGTGTACCGTCAAATTATTCTTATTAGTGAAATTGTATTTTTACATGTTTTCCGACTGTTTTCACTTTGTCCTTTAGGCTACGCAAGACGAGGATTATAATCGCTACCTTTTCTCGAGAAAAGAGGAGATTGAAATGAATAGCACGGAAGAACTCTACAGGCTTTTACTACCAAATCTTTGTCAGTATGTAGTTGCTCTTTTAAAGGTCTTACTAGCGGCAGCTCCTTCGAATAAGGTATGAACAATAATTGCCTTAGAGGATATCTAGCTATCTATCAAGGGTTTTTCTACATAGGCTAAAAATGATGCCCTCAACATTTTGGTGGATGTGCTAACTCCAGAAACAGACGGAAGCGATGTGCTGTCAAATTCCATAAGTTTGGATCATTCGACTAGTAGCCCATTAGAGGAGAGTGTGCGACTTGCAATTGATATCAACAGACACAAGGAGGTCCCAAGTCTATTTTAGTTCTTTGGAGGCGTTGTTTACAGCTTTTAATAATTTCAGATAATGGTTAAGGCAACCTCTTCAATACTCATCCTTCTCATGAAACATCTGCGTTTGAATCACATCTATCAATTCGAGTACTTGTGTCAACACATTGTAGGTGTTCTCACCAGCTTTATTGCTGTAATACTTGCCAATGTTCGTATCTGTTTCCCTTGCAGGTTTACGGCAATGGCATTCCGCTGCTTCTGAAATTTCTTGACCAAAATATGACAAGATATGTGCAATCAAGATATGAAATTCACGCATACAACTACCCACAAGCACCGCTACACTTTGTGCGCAATCGAGGTTCCTTTCATTTCACTTTTCTTTCGCATTCACTGTTGAATTGGAAAGTTTCATTGAAGTCGTTTTTTGGTTAGAAATATTCCTACGTGCAAGTAGCATTTTCCCGCTTATTGGCTTGGTACGCTATTGATTTGAATGCACTTTCTGCAAGCTAAAGTCTTTTACTGATGGCACTCAAGCATTTTAGATATTTACACTGTAACCTTCATTGTGTTGAATCATTTTCTTCTGCTATTGATGTGGGCTCACCAATTCTATTTTTAAACCCCAGCTTCTTGATTTATCAATGGGGTCGTGGGGACTATCTTGTTTGCGACACTTTTCTTATTCTAGATATCTTCCTGTTAAATTAGCGGCATATTTTTAAGAGCTATAATTGCAAGTTAAATCTCGATTACACAATATTAAGATGAATGGCCCGTCTTGAATTCGGAGAATGTCGAAAGCGGTGAAGTGGAACGAAGGGGGATGTATTATATGTGGAGAAACATGTTTTCGTCTATAAATCTCATCAGGTACACAACTTCTTTAACATTATGCTCTTTTTTGCATCTTTTAAAGCTGCATCAAATTACATCTAGGGTGCTTAATAAACTAGTCAAAGGCAAACAATCTCGAGTAATGATGCTGATGGTATTCAAATCGGCTCCAATATTGAAACGGTCGCTGAAGATCCGTTTAGTATGTAGTTTAGCAAAGATTATTTGCAGTCTATTAATTTCTCGTCCTTAAGGGCCTTTTCCAATTTTTTGTCTTGAAAGCTCTGAAGATGCAATCGCGGTATCTCGGTAGGCAATGGAGAAAGAGTAATATGGATATCATGTCTGCTATCTACAACAAAGTTCGACATCGTATGACTGATGACTGGGCGTTTGCGAATGAAATGCGGAAGTCCTATGACTATCATAGCGAAGAGAGCGAGTTGAAAGCCGCTGTTGAACGGTTCCATAGCCGACGTTATGCGAAATTGCATCCGCAACTGGCGATAGGTGTGTTCTTGAGTTATCGCGCATTCTTCAACATTTCTTTGAATAAACCCACGAAATGTTTTTTTTTCTTCTTTTTCGTCCTTGTCACGAAGTCTGTTTTAGAAATCAATGATGCTCCTATGCCAGGCGATGATTATCTGAACAGAGTCAACCTTCGCGAATACGAACCAGTGGATAACTGCCTTCATTCAGTTCTCGGAAAACAGCCAGAACTTGGGAAACGGTAATTTCTTTTCTGATTTCGCGTTGCACCTACCCCATTTTTATTGTTCATCAAAAACTTACGAATTCTTTGCAGATTCAAGAACAACTATCGTAAGTGGATGGAAGAGGAAGTAGTCAAAAGAAACATCGATTGGGACCGCTTGCTGATGAATACCAAAGGCATCGCTTTTTCTCGAGATATACCATGCTAGGAGATTTTGCTAAATATTCGCAATAGAAGCACTGTAGACAGGTTTTGATTCATGCGATGAATGTCTAATGTCTGAGAAGCAAACAGCAGACCCTTTTTGAGTGGCGTATAAACCGCGGATTGGTAAGAGCTAGCTTTTTCACATAATTCCAAAAATGTTGTTTTATGCAAAGATTTTGTATCATAGGCTTTACATTTTTTCGAGGCATTCTTGGCCGGTTTAACTAGCAATATTTTGTATTGGACGTGGTGCACTAGTGCTAACTTCTTGGCTGTTCAAGCTACTACTTCTTGGAGTGTTCAATGCTTGTGTAACCGCTCTACTTAATAGTTGTTTTGCTAAATGAAGCTCTCGACTATCTTATCAGTACGCTTTTATCACAGTTCGCTGTTTTGCTGAGAACCTTTTAATAATGTATAAATATAAATAAGAGTATGTTCATTTGTTATATGTATGTAGAATGTTCTGGTGGGATGCCTCGT